GCCAACCATTCTCCTGCTGTGCTTGTACAGTGACTGAAGATACAGGTCTAGATACGGTTGAGGCGGTGAGGAAGTGGGGGCAAAATTGTCTAACAAAGGATGGACATGAGGGTGAAAAAGAGCAGGGATCCAGGTGGACAAAGGGTCCCAGCGTTCTCGTGCACCTCGTTCTTCTAGCTCAGGGGTGGGCAATTCCAGTTCCTGGGGGCCGATATCCTGCATCTTTTAGATGTGCCTTTGGTTCAACACACCTGAATCAAGTACCGGTACTCAGATAATTGGGAGGACTCTGCAGGAACCGACTGCATACTGAGGAGGTAACTCAGCCATTTGATTCAGGTGTGTTGGACAAAGGATGGATCTAAAAGTTGCAGGATACTGGCCCCAAGGAACTGGAATTGCCCACCCCTGTTCTAGCTGGTCCAACTTCACAAGTTGTTTTCCACAATTGCGGTCATACAAACAAAACAAGCCGGTAAGGCACCAAATAGAAAATATGCATAATGTAGAGCAGATGTAGATTTGACCAATCAAGGCCCTCCTGTCTGCGGCACTGTCTGTGGACACCTACAATTTGGGAGCGGTGCAGCAGAGTGTCTGCGGAAGGGGCGGGGGCACATTTGTGTCACTGCGTCACCTATGCAGATGACGTGGTTTCGAAGTATAAATCAGCTTTTAGTCTTGTCTTGGTCTTGATCTCTAAATGTTTTGGCCTTGTCTTGGTCTCAGTGCTCCCTGGTCTCAGAAATGTGTTTATCTTGCTTGATGTTGTCTTGACTACAACAGTACCCTATAGAACAGTCCATGTACAAATAACCATCTGTCTACCCTCATCCTGCTTTGAGGACAGTTTGCTACCAATACAGGGAAAAAAACATGTATTTTGTGGTCTAGAAATTGGTTAAATTATTCTAAAACAATATTAAAACAAATACAAAGGCAGTATATGTCATACTTTTAAATGTATTTGACATTTTAATAAAGTGAAATAAAACTATTGCAAAATCTGATNATTTTAATAAAGTGAAATAAAACTATTGCAAAATCTGATGGATTGGGGATGTAACAAAATTGTAGATTGTTCAAGAAAGATTATTTATGTTGCTAATGCTTTCAATTTCTAAGATGTTATATGTCTGGCTGTAGTTTATGTAACCCTTTTATTTATAAATGGGATTATCCCTAATATCTAAACAAGTTGGCTAAAAATACCTACCACTGGACCAAGTCTGTGATGGTAGAATGGAAGGTTCCCTCTGTAGGCTGGTTAATGTTTTCTCTTGTAACTGGATTTTATCCAAGCAGGCTTCAAAAAGCATTTCTGATGTGTAGCATCTTTGTTTCATTTTTTTCACAAAATCAATTATAGCAGAAAACTGCTTCTTGTCACTGCTTTTGATAACAATGTATTTCCTTCCATATCTCTTAATAAGCTTCTTGATGTTCTTATCTTTTTTAAGACATTTAACCACTTGTGGATGTTTAGGATCTGAGTCTGTAGTGAACAGGATCATTGTGTTGTTGTTGACTCTATAGCTGAATGTGTCCTGGATGGTCTGTAATTCTCCCTTGTCTTCATCAGTGAGGGGACCCACAGGTAGGACCAGGATGAAGGCGTGGACACCCTCAGGGTTGCAGAGAGTGATACACGTGTGTGATTCTTTCAGCACGTGCTGCTGAGCTTTTCCATACAAGGCAGGCAGCTCCACCACTGAAACCCAACGTCCATGAACTTCTCCCTGGTTTCTAACACACTGTGATGAGCTGAAGGCTGAAGGAAGATCTGTCTGACCTAGAATGGCCTTTGCTGCTGATGTCTTCTGTGCTAATGGCGTTTTACACATAACCAGGTTTAAGGATGGCAGAGACTTGTCACATTTCCATGCTGCTCCCTCATCTTTGATGCTAAGGAAGGCGCTGCTGTCTGTTTTTACAATATCTTCAATTTTCTCCATTAATCTCTGGTGATTATTTTCTGCTAGGCTGTACTGTCTACCTTCACATTCTCCAATGAGTTTATTGAGGGAAAAATTTGTTTCATTTCCCTCATGAGTTATGATGACCATTGATTGTTTAAAAGTATCTTTACCAAACAAGCTCAGGGTGGCTTTCAGGGTCTGTCTGTCCTTCTCTGTGAAGTCTGAAGGATTCACTAAGAGCAGCAGAACATTTGGTCCAGGGGGGCAAAGATTGACGCAACGTTTCATCTCCTCTTTCTGTACATTTCCTCTCTGACTTTCTGAGGGTGTCACAACTGTTAAGAACTTTCCTTTCCACAACCTTTGTTCAACTGGTTCAGGTTTTTGAAATGTGGATGAATGGTCCAAACTTTTTTTCTCCAAGATGAAATTACAGAGGTGTTCCTTGCTTGACAGTCTTGTCCCAAACAGCATAATCCTGAGACCTCGCCCTGTGAAACAACAGATAAAAAAGCATAATGGAAATTAATTGGCAGAATGGAAGCCTATACTCTTAAGTCTTAAGATTAACCTGCTGACTATAATTTAGTATAGTACTTCATATAGCAATTGGATTTTTTGGTGGTTGAATGATTTCAGCCGGTCTAGCTGCGGTCATGGTATAGCTGTGATGATTGTGCATCACTGCCTCAGACTCCCATCGAATGTACTCCTCAGAAAAAAATGCTCAAAAGAGCCTGGACCTCATTTTCCATCCATCCAACTGCCATAGCTTCTCCTCTTTTGTTCCATCATGCATTTAAGAAATTAGACAACGTAAAGTATACAACTGCAAAAATTGTGTGTGTTGGCTGTAACAAGTCTAAAACACCAGTTTAAATATGGCGAGATGTGCAGACATTACAAAGAAGTCAGATAGTCCACCAATTGTTGCTCCTTGAAACTTGACACTGGGACACCAGCAGAAGACATAATGCTGTGAATCAACATCTGCTTGGATGAGTAACCAAGGAAAAAGATTAGAGTAGTCTTCCAGCCCGGGGCCCAGACACTGATAGTGGAATAAGCAAGAGTGTTTATGGGGCAAAGGAGGAGGGAACACATTTGCTGGCATGCAGGAAATAATCTAGGACAGGCTAGGTCCCTAAATGAAGGGTATCTTGTAACATGATGGAGGAAGTGCAGTCCACACATTGTTTGGGACCAACAGTTTGTCCAGGTGAAGCTGATGAGAGTCTTCCAGATTAAAATTTTGCTTAACCCCTTAGCTCCCACCGCCCCGCCCCGGGACAATTTGATGGCAAATTTTGTTCTGCGTCTAACAGCAAGCTTATTTATAAACAAAATCCCACATGTTTTACCTCTTTAGAGTCAGATGAACCCAAAGAAAATGACCATCAATTCAACTGTAAGTCAACTATACTCTACAAACTCCAATAAATTATAATATGTCATCAAATTAGAACTCATAATTTTTACTTCTTGTTTCGTGTTCTGGCATTTTAAAACACATTCTTTCCTGGCATAAATGGGCTTACTCTGTAATGCTCCACAGAAAAGTAATATGCAGTTGAATTTCCCATAAAATGAATAATCGTACTAATCCGACAAAGCTAATTTTTTGCAGTGAAGTAGTAAAAATAAAGTTGATGAAATTTTATTTTTCATGTGCCTACTGACATATGTCAGTAAAGGAGGAGGGTTCTAAACGGTTCTTAAGAAAGAACCGAAACAGAGACACTGGCACAATTATATCTATAAGACCATGCTTGGTCTGTTGCCCTCCTGTTTATGTAATTTGGTCCCATAAAGATGTGCTTACTCTTGTTCTTTGTGTTCAAATTACCATTTATTCCTTTGTTACATTTGTCCACACAGAACGGGGAAAAGAGATTTTTTTTGTTCACTATGCTCTATCTATACAAGATTTTCAGCAAAATGACCTGAAACTGACACATTTTTATTATACTAAACACTTTTAAGTCGAGACTGAGAGCACTCAGGAAACCACCTTAAACTGCATTTTTTTCTGGGTGGTTCTTTAAAATAAGTGGTCCTCCTAATTGTCAATCATTCTGGTGATATGTTTACGTAAGGCCGTAAACAGAAACTTTTAAGCAGAGCGTGCACGAGCCCATTTCTCCTCATGCACGCTCTGTTTAAAAGTTGCTGTTTGCATCGCTCATACAAGCTTACTTTCCAAAGAAGATTTGGAATTTTTCCATTATGTAAGACTAACCACCGCAAGTGAAAATGGGGACGAGCATGTAGGACGGCCTTAGGTAAACATATCACCACAATGATTGACAACTGATTAGATTAACTGATCCACAAGAGGTAAACACAACTACTTGCGTTAAAGATTATTCCATCATAATTATGTTTACAGACCTCATATTCAGCTCTAAACAAACTTTTTTGACTTTTGTAGCCCTTTGAGCTTTTCGTCTTACCATGTGTGCCCTTCTCAGTAAAAATTATTAATGACAATGATAATATAATGATAATATTTTAAAAAATGCCTTTTTAAATGTATTTTTTACAAAATACACAGTCCTCACTTGAATGCATCTAGACTGCACCATAATCACATTACATATATGAGAACATAATTGTGGTACAGTACAGTGCCACAATTCATATTAAAGTGCAGTGCCCTGTATTGATAACTACAGAGGAGGAACATGGAGTATGACAAGAGGTGCAATAATAACCAAGGTGGAGATAGGGTGAGTGATTGTTTATATCTAAATTGCTTTCATTGAAAAAGAAATATAAGACGCAAGATTATGAATTATAAGATAGCGAGCTTGAGCAGAGATATGCAAGCAGAGATATGCAAGCAGAGATATGCAAGCATGTTTCCAAGGTGCTTACATGGCCTTATTCGATGATGAATAATGTGTCTCAGAGGAATCAGCTTTTCACAAAATTTTGGCCCCACTCTGTTGTTTGTACAGATATTATTTTTTATCATTAGAATAAAAAATTGTGATTGTCATTCGTCCAATTAATAATTAATAACTTTCCTTTACATTAATTAAGTGTAACAAAACAATAATTAAAGATAATTTTTACTTCCATGTCCACGTGCAATCAGATTAGTTAACATAGTGTTATTGGGTGTTTTTAAAAGCAATAATTAAACATAGAAACTTAGTATATATATATATATATATATATATATATATATATATATATATATATATATATATATATATATATATATATATAGAAACAGTTGTAGACAAGAAATACATGCTCAAAAAACCTCAACTATCATTCTCAAAATATATTTTGTCCATCTATCATTAAAATGTTAAATGATAAGAGGACATCTTAACTTATCCATCAATTTACTATGAATAGGGTGGCTGCTAATATTATAAACTTTAATTGTCAACATGTTGTATAACTATGACTTAGGTTATCTGAACACAGAGCAATCCAACACAGCCTGGGCTCATATTTTCTCAGTTGGGAAATGACTTAGCTCTTCAAAACCCAGATCAAGAGAGATCAGTGATCTGGCAAAGTATGAAAAGAGTTTCCTTCTAAACTATTTGAGTTTTTCATCATTACTAATATTTTGTGTTTAAAGCAAGAGAATAAGAAGCTAATAGCAACTGCAGGGAATCTAACCCAATGCTAACACGCTTGAGCTGTCATTTATAAAGTTATGGTAACCCTTAGCAAAAAGTAGTATACTTCAAGTAAATTCTATTAAGAATACTTAAGTATAAGTTTAGAAAGTATACCGAACAATGCACATTTAGTGTACTTGAAGTATTACTAAANTGACTACCTGAATATACTGAATGACCAGGTTATTCCATCAATGGACTTTTTTCTTCCCTGATGGCACAGGCATATTCCAAGATGACAATGCCAGGATTCATCAGGCTCAAAATGTGAAAGACTGGTTCAGGGAGCATGACTCATCATTTTCACACATGGATTGGCCACCACAGAATCCAGACCTCAAACCCAATGAGAATCTTTGGGATGTGCTAGAGAGGGCTTTGCGCAGCGGTCAGACTCTACCATCATCAATGCAAGATCTTGGGGAAAAATTAATGCAACACTGGATGGAAATAAATCTGTTGACATCGCAGAAGCTTATCAAAACAATGCCACAGCAGTCCAACAAAGTATTAGAGTGAGTGACTTTTTTTATTTGGTGGCAACTTTTTTTTTTGGCCAGGCAGTGTATAATCTGTCATCAAAAAGAGTTTGGTGATTGCTCTAATTTTTTTTACGAAAACTAAGAATCCTAATTTAATCAAGTATTTACAGCCTTTGATTTACACTTTGTTGAACCATTGGCCAGTAATTACAGCTCAGATGTTTTTGAACATGATACCACCAGCTTACCTCCAGCTCCTATCTTTATGCCTTTTTTATTCTTATTTTATTTTTTGCCAAAGATCAGAAGCTCCATCAGGATGGATGAGCAGCTTAGCTTTCTGAAAGTTAAATTGGGTTCAAGTCTGGACTTTGGTTTGATCCCTCCAGGACAAATCACAGAGGGATCCTAAAGCTAAGATTTTAGGTTTATTTTGGGTCATTGCCCCAGTCTGATGTCAAAAGTGCTCTAGAGCCCTTTTTCATCTAGGAAGTTTCTATAAATTGCTGCATTCCATTTTCCCTAATCGTGACTCATCAGTCAGTCCCTCTGGCTAAAATTCCTATTGCAGGATGTAGCCACTGCTATGCTTCTTTAAGGGAGGTGGATCTGTTGATCAATTGTGCCTGCTTTTCTCCAAACATGATGCCTGGCATTGTCACCAAAGCCTTCAATCTTTGTCTCATCAGAACAGATAATTTAGTTTCTCATTCTCTGAGAGTCATTTAGGTGTCATTTAGAGAAATGTTTTCTATTTGTAATAAAAATGACACAGATAAAATGTTTTTTGTGTTTTTATAACATTGTTATAATGGGATATTATGTATAAAAGTTATGGCAAGAGATTAACTGAATACAAGAATGAGGCTATAACAAAAATAGATATGAAAGAAATGCAAAGCAAAATCCTACATAGTACTAATTGTTCATATTTCTGCCATTTAACGGATGATACAAATGTGTGAAGCTTGGAATAACAAATTGAAGAACAACTTTTAACCTCATGTTATTGGAGTTTGAGTAACTTGTTATACTATCAATAATGTTATTATGATCTTCTCTTCTTTATTTGAATAACTGAAATTCATCTTTTAAATTTTGTTGGTGGCATGTTGATTTTCCATTGCTTTGAAGTTTCTGTATACATGACAATTTAGATAATAGTGTTCTCTGGTATCAAATGTGCAACAGACATTTCTTAACACTTACCAGTACCAGGGGGAACTTCTTTCTTCTGTTTTGGTTTTTTATCGTGATAGGTTTGGTAATTTTCACTTTTCCTCTGCAAGATGTTACTAACTTTGTCACCCAAATCTTTACGAACATTTTCCTTCATGATGAGTGAATTGTCTCTGCATCTTCTGATCAGCTCATGTAGGGCTTGGTTCAGACTTGGATTCTTCTGCTTAGCTGTTGATATCAAAACGAGTGCAGAATCAAATGGCTGGCCACCGAAGAGTTCAAGAATTTTGTAGAATCTCCTTTTCTGCTCCTCTGTGAAGTTTTCTGGCTGCACAACCAGCAGAAACAGATGAGGAAGAGAAGCATGAATTTTATAAAACAGTTCTACTTGTCCTTTCAATTTGTCTTCAGTTATTCTAGGATTAATCAGATCTGGTGTGTTGATGACAACTAGTTTCTTTTCCTGGATTGTTCTTGAAACTGTCATTGAAGAGTTTGGCTCTTCTCTTGGGTTGAACTCAGTCTTTCCGAGAATTAAGTTTCCAACAACACTCTTCTCTGGCCAGCTGTCTCCCAGGAGAATAACCTTTAATTCAGACACTGGAAATACAAAAAGAGAATAATAATAATGTAGAAGAGATGATTTACACTTAAATGTAGCTAACAAAATTTAACTAGTAGTTAGAATAATAAACACAAACTTAAATTTAAAGAATTGAGAAGAATTATTCATACATCACTCAAAAGGTTTAAATGAAAATCAGTTTTTCTTTAAGTTGGATTTAAGAACAGAAACATTCTAAATAAGTTTACCATATGTCTTTGTGTTTCTTAAATTAAATTAAAAATACTCTAGTTATCCTGAAGGAGTATTTTTAGGTTAGAAAATTATTCATCCACATATTTGTATAAATTTGAAGTATAATATGATCCTTTGTGTCTTACAGAAAATCAATAATAAATCCCAATTTGTGCATACAATTCTCATAAAAAATTATATCAGTCATATTGAGTAGGGTCTCATTTCATCCTTGAAAAGAAGCACTTAATAAATGATTAAACATTTCAGATTTAGTTGTATTTGATATATATGGGTTGGCTAAGAAAGAAAGAAAGACCTTTGTACCCTTAGAATTAATACACATAATTATACTTATAAAAAATCATAAATGAAAAGCCATTTACTGAAACTTACTGAGAGGTGGAAGGAACTCAAAGCTACTTCCTCGTTTTATCACAGCTGTGAGAACAAAAGCAAAGAAAAGTGTTTGATCAACATGTTTTATTAGAAAATTCATTCATACCCTACCCTGAAACAAGGGAGGCTCAATGGTGTTAATTAGATCCAAATGTCATATATTGGATTTACATACAGTATGTGGAAGCACATAAAACACATCACTACAACAAGTGAAAATAGCTGCTGTTCAGCGCTCTGAAATTATAAACTCTAGAAACAAAGACAGGAGTTCAGCACAAGATGACTGTTCTGTTAGTGTGAGGGATTGCATTTGAGTCAATGAGTTGATGCAGTCAACTGGTTTTCCTCGGTTTGAAAAGTTTGGATCAATTTGACTGGATGATCTGGTGAACTGTAAAGTGCCATGAAATAACATGTGTTGGTATATGGCGCTATACAAATAAACTGAATTGAATTGAAATTGAATTGTTCTGACTTAATGATCACTTTTCCCTCTCGACTCATGAGAAAAACCTCTTTGCTGTCTGACCACTGTCAGTCACAAATCCTTCAGTATGTTTGCCAGCATCGTATGTATGTCAGCATCGAGCAGCCAGCATCACCACCTGCCCATCTCCATAGACCCCTAAGAGGTTTAGCCTCACTGGAAGTGATGTATCATGGCATGTTATCTAATAAGGGCTCTACTGTCCCGCTACCTACCTTAATAGACCGGGGCTCAAACCTCAACAGGGATTTCTCGTGGTTGCTGAACAGCAGCATCCTGCTTAAATCAGCCACATTTTGCGGCATATTTAATGCAGTCTTTTTACTACTTTTGTGAAGTTTGACAATGCATATTTTAATACTAACTTTCTAAAAATGTACAGGGGATGTTTAGCCTCCATATTATTCAATACCAAATCGGCACGGACACAAAACAAGGCTATAAGTTTACCATTTTTAGATAAGGCTAGGTTGTTTAGAATTTTTTTTTTTTTTTTTTACAAAAAAACAATCATTTAAACATGTTGTTTCTGCTTAGGACTTTCAATGTTTTTTAGGGTATGTAAAATATTCAAAAACTAAAAAAATCCAGAAATCTGTAAATACTTATCAGTGCAAGAGTTAGATGCTGTTTGTAAAAAAGAAATCATGTAAATAGTGAATGTTGGCTGTAACGTTGTGTCTGAAAACTCAAAGAGGATTACATCCCACCTCGAAGAACATTGTGATTCACATTAGTGAACGTAATGATATTTCTAGGAGGCTTACCACTGTAAAATTAACACAATTTAAAGTGTTCATTAGTTGACATGTAGGAATTCTTTCAGATTTAATCTACAGCAGGGGAACTGATCTGAATAATCTAATGGATCAAATGAAGCTGCTATGAAAGATCAAATGGATATTTTGTAACTTTTGCGCTTGCACTGGGAAAAGAGATGCCCCTTGCTGGATATTTTTTAACTTTTGCGCTTGCACTGGGAAAAGAGATGCCCCTTGCAGAGAGATGGATGTCACCTGAATAGAGCATGTCTACCACATTTGGCTTCAAACATTTTCTTCTTCCCTTAACAAAATACAAAATGAAAAATAAATGAAAAACTGATAAAGTGTCTACATTTTAACAAACATCGCCTTCTGATGCCTTGAAACAGGGAAAATAACAGAATGAATAAAAGATAAGGGGCAGTCATAGGGTCAATAAGGTAATGGCGAAAATTATGTCACCACCTGTTGGATTCCTACAGGCCAGGATGCAATCCCAACACAACACCCTACTCCTCTTCCCTTGCACTCCCACAATCCCTCCACAGTGCCATCTCCTATCCAACCCAACACTACAGCCAAACCTGTCTCCTCAAGATGAAACTTCTAAATCTTTGCTTTTTCTTTTCTGTCTGGCTGACTGAATTGGGCTATAATTTGTTATTGGGGAGCTCAAGGTCAGGTCAGAAAGTGTTCTAGAGCTCAGAGAGGAGCATCAGGAAAATCAGCATGAATCCCATCAGAGAGAGAACTAAACCCGGGATGATGCAGGAAAAACCTCCCTATATACAGTAACATGTCCTGGATGAACCCATCTGTTTTTCACAAGCACTGCCAACCCACCTCTGTTAATCATTCCATTCTTCTTTAAATCTGTTAGCTTGTTAGGGCAGAGCGCCCTGCACAGAGCTGCTCAAGTCAGAAATATGATCCTGCAGCCAGGTTTCAGTAAAACATATAGTACTACATTGTCAGTATTCTTGCTGGGTTCTTGCCAGGGCTTAGATTTCTATCATTTTTTCCTAAATATCTCCAATTATCCATAATGATATATGGAACAGTTCTTTAAATATTCTGTCCCTCCCTGTTCTGCTTGCTCCTGCTTTGAATCCCTGGTGCCTCCTTTTTAACTCAGTTGGTACGTGTAATATTCGTATAATCAAAAGGGAGCGGAGCTACCTAACCTAACAAACAAACCTTGACACAGCAAACCTAAGAGCTTCAATGGAGCCTTGTACCACACCTACCCCTGCTTGTGTATTAAAAAGACTCTGTATATTTTTACGCATGCAGACATTTCCACCCTCCCAAGTGGTAAGACGTCCTGCTAGTCTTTCAGCGCTAAGTCTTAGCCTACATTGGTGATGGCCCTGGTGGCCAGCTGGCTCGTGGGCCCTGCTGCCTGTCCCTAGACCCCGGGCTATAGTGGTGCGACTGGTGGGGCCCCCCTCTCCAGAGGGGCTCTCGGGGGAAGGGGAGTAGCTGGCTCCCTGGAAGTGCAATAAGCCCCCCAGTCCTTTTCTCCCCATCCCCGGTCTCCTCCCTCTGCCTGCCTAACATTGCTACACACGTAGGATCTTGGGGAGGGGTCTTTACATTTTGCATTTTTTTGACAATTTTCACCATTTCAGCATTTTCACAACACACATCTATGTAGGACATTGTCTGGGGGGGTGGGGGGTAAGGACACCGGGCGGGCTTATTTTGTGGGCCTCACCTCGGATTGCTCCCCCCACCCTCCCTCGCATTTAGACATTGAGGGTTCTGGGATGCTGATTGGGGGGTGCGCTGACGCTGCCTTTCCTGGGAGGGGGTGGACTGTGCTGGACATGTGGGCCATGTCCCCGGGGTCAGGCCCGAAGCAGGAACTAGATAGGTTAGTGTGGCTAACCTATCTAGTATTTTTAATTTTTTTTGGATTTGTCAGGTTGGCGTCTGAACTGCTTCCTCTCCCAAGAACATATAATTTCTCCACCTGTTAATGCAACATTTTATCAGTTTTAGACAGACATGGGCAATGTGGAGTCAACAAGTCATCTCCATGTCATGTATTTGTCCTACCCAGCCAATTAACCAGGTGAGTCCAATCTTCACCGTGAATTAACCTGTGCAGATTGGACTCACCTGGTTAATTGGCTGGGTAGAACAAATACATGACATGGAGATGACTTGTTGACTCCACATTGCCCATGTCTGGTTTTAGATTACGGCAATCTGCTATGAACACCTCAGCTCAAAGTCTTCAAAAGTTTATCACTCTGTTTATCATGCCTATCTGAAGTTTACTACTAATTGTAAAACTTTATAACACCATTGCAAGCTGCATTCTCATGTTGGATCACCTTCTTTGTCCACTCTGAGACAGAGACACTGGCACAGTTATATCTATAAGACCATGCTTGGTCTGTTGCCCTCCTGTTTATGTAATTTGGTCCCATAGAGAAGTGCTTACTCTTGTTCTTTGTGTTGAAATTACATTTATTCCTCTGTTCCATTTGTCCACACAGAACTGGGAAAAGAGTTTTTTTTTGTTCACTATGCTCTATCTACACAAGATTTTCAACAAAATGACCTGAAACTGACAAATTTTTATTATACTGAACACTTTTAAGTCGAGACTGAGAGCACTCAGGAAACCACCTTAAACTGCATTTTTTTCTGGGTGGATCATCAAAATAAGTGGTCCTCCTAATTGTCAATTATTCTGGTGATATGTTTACATAAGGCCGTAAACAGAAACTTTTAAGCAGAGCGTGCACGAGCCCATTTCTCCTCATGCACGCTCTGTTTAAAAGTTGCTGTTTGCATCGCTCATACAAGCTTACTTTCCAAAGAAGATTTGGAATTTTTCCATTATGTAAGACTAACCACCGCAAGTGAAAATGGGGACGAGCATGTAGGACGGCCTTAGGTAAACATATCACCACAATGATTGACAACTGATTAGATTAACTGATCCACAAGAGGTAAACACAACTACTTGCGTTAAAGATTATTCCATCATAATTATGTTTACAGACCTCATATTCAGCTCTAAACAAACTTTTTTGACTTTTGTAGCCCTTTGAGCTTTTCGTCTTACCATGTGTGCCCTTCTCAGTAAAAATTATTAATGACAATGATAATATAATGATAATATTTTAAAAAATGCCTTTTTAAATGTATTTTTTACAAAATACACAGTCCTCACTTGAATGCATCTAGACTGCACCATAATCACATTACATATATGAGAACATAATTGTGGTACAGTACAGTGCCACAATTCATATTAAAGTGCAGTGCCCTGTATTGATAACTACAGAGGAGGAACATGGAGTATGACAAGAGGTGCAATAATAACCAAGGTGGAGATAGGGTGAGTGATTGTTTATATCTAAATTGCTTTCATTGAAAAAGAAATATAAGACGCAAGATTATGAATTATAAGATAGCGAGCTTGAGCAGAGATATGCAAGCAGAGATATGCAAGCAGAGATATGCAAGCATGTTTCCAAGGTGCTTACATGGCCTTATTCGATGATGAATAATGTGTCTCAGAGGAATCAGCTTTTCACAAAATTTTGGCCCCACTCTGTTGTTTGTACAGATATTATTTTTTATCATTAGAATAAAAAATTGTGATTGTCATTCGTCCAATTAATAATTAATAACTTTCCTTTACATTAATTAAGTGTAACAAAACAATAATTAAAGATAATTTTTACTTCCATGTCCACGTGCAATCAGATTAGTTAACATAGTGTTATTGGGTGTTTTTAAAAGCAATAATTAAACATAGAAACTTAGTATATATATATATATATATATATATATATATATATATATATATATATATATATATATATATATATATATATATAGAAACAGTTGTAGACAAGAAATACATGCTCAAAAAACCTCAACTATCATTCTCAAAATATATTTTGTCCATCTATCATTAAAATGTTAAATGATAAGAGGACATCTTAACTTATCCATCATTGCTATGATTAACTTTTATTCAGACAATTCACTATGAATAGGGTGGCTGCTAATATTATAAACTTTAATTGTCAACATGTTGTATAACTATGACTTAGGTTATCTGAACACAGAGCAATCCAACACAGCCTGGGCTCATATTGTCTCAGTTGGGAAATGCCTTAGCTCTTCAAAACCCAGATAAAGAGAGGTCTGGCAAAGTATGGAAAGAGTTTCCTTCTAAACTATTTCAGTTTTTCATCATTACTAATATTTTGTGTTTAAAGCAAGAGAATAAGAAGCTAATAGCAATTCAATAAGGGTTTTAACACTATGCACTGAAAAAGCCAGAGGACAGAAATACTTGGCATGCCCTAGCAAGAAGTGAGGGTCAGCTGGGAGCATCTAGCGGAGCCCTCAGTCAATGACATGTTCAACCCAAACCTCCTGAAGAGCTTCTAAAGATTCTGGGGGAGGCTGGAGACATGGAGTCTGATTAGGCCATGTTCTCTGTGTCTATTCTTAATGTGGCCGCCTGCAGCTGTGATTGCTGCTGCCTCCGTTACCCCATCCAGGAAGAAGTTGGAGACAACCAGAAGTTTAAACACTAATATGAAGTCAACATTTATGTGTGTCTTGATTTACTCATTATATTCGATTGCTAAAATATAAAAAAAAATTAGTCCTTTAAAAAGAGGCCCCTCGTGGCTACTAGTTATTAGCTCCACTGTCTTAATGAACAAATTTAAAAGAACGTTCCCTAATCTATTCCCTCAGGAACAGTCACAGAGGACTACAAAATTCATTCTGGAAAAAGCTTTTTATTTAGGCAAATCATTTGATAAATCTTTTTTGACAAAATGATGTTTTATAAACCTTTTGGATTTGTGTTGTAAATGGTTTCAACAAATTACCATTTCTCAAAATTTGCCTAAAAGCTAATTAAATCTAATTCTAGCTTTTTCAATACAAACATTGTTTCTCAGTCATAAAATTGCAGCCAAACTGTGATATCATCTCTTTTCTTTAATTTTCTTTAGGATGGGTTCCAACCATTGTTCCTTTTTTTATGCATACATAGTAGCTTACTGAAATATGCATAGCTGAGCTGAGTTATTTTTTATTAACTACTAATGGTTTGATGAGCTGAAGTCTTTTGTCATCCTAACACACAGCCAGATGGGTGTGTGTTGACAGTACAACCTATGGCAATCTAACAACTGTTTGTTTAAAAACAATAGGTCACAACAGCATTTTATTGACTAACAATTGTCTGTGTGTTTAACTCACCATATTGTCCTGCTGCCATGTTTTTAAAATCGCAGTTCTCAGTTTTAGAAGCAGAATTCCCCTAAAATAAGTATTTCAAGAGGAATTTTTAAAAAATTGTAAAAAAGAATAAGCCTGCAAAAGCATAAGAAAAACAGTTATGAGAAAGGTTATTAAAACATCTTTTAAATAAATATGAGGGTTATATTTAAATACAATTTTTTTTTACCCATTGTTTGTTCATTCAATAAGACTGCATAATTACAGTTTTTCTAGGTTTCTGTTCCTAAATATGCTATCTATACACTTGCACAGCAACACACTTTCAAAACATTAGTTATAAGTTCAGAAATGTGCCTCACCGCAGTCTGAGAAGTGTTTTAAGGCCATTTAATGGTTATTTGACGTCTGTCATTCTACAGTAGGTAACATTATTTCCACAAGAAACTTCACAGATTTGGCCCCATATCAGTGTGTGCAATGCTTAAAAAAATACCAAAACAGAAGCTTGAGCTCAGACTCCCAGACTAAAGACCCAACTTTGTGGGTTGACTGCTAACGTTCAGGAAGAGAAAGCAAGAAAAATAAACATGAATAAATGTTTTTGTTCCCTCCAAAAAGGCAAGATTCTGCTAGAACAGAGATGTTACATTTAAATTGAAGCACAAACATTTCTGACAAAGGCTATTTGTGTTAAACACAATTGCACTACACCAGTTTTGGAGAAAACAAAACACAACATATCGGCAAAAAGTATCTCCTATTAACCGTCAGATACAGCAGCAGAGATGATTTGTATTTGTACAATAAACACCTCTGGGTAAGCTGAAGGTTGATACAAAGCTCTAAACAATGATGAATAATTTCCTACAAGCAGTTTGTTTTATGCTATAATCCCCACTTGCAGAGCTTAGTTTTTATAATCTTAGTTTTGTTTTATTTTTAAGAAAGTAATGATGAAGAGGAGTCCTTGTGTGATTTATATAATTTAGACCTTGGGGCACGTACAACTGATTAGATTAACTGATCCACAAGAGGTAAACACAACTACTTGCGTTAATGATTATTCCATCATAATCATGTTTACAGACCTCATATTCAGCTCTGAACAAACTTTTTTGACTTGTGTAGCCCTTTGAGCATTTCGTCTTACCATGTGTGCCCCTCTCAGTAAAAATTATTCATGACTGAATGAATAATTATAAGATAAAAAGTAATATATTTAATTTTTTTAACTTGAACAGTTAATTATTTGGCATTTAAGTCTTTCCAACTCAATTAAAAAACAACATAAGTA